TAATATGAAAAAGCAGACTTCAATCTCAACCAAACTTGGTGACAATTATATTTGGGTAGGGGAACTTCAGATGACTTGAGACATTAGAGGTTAAAGGTTGTCTAGGGGTCAAATGAGGTCATTGTTGATTTTGGTTATGTTAACTGTTTAGTGCTGTAATATGAAAAGTCTGACTTCAATTGCCACCAAACTTGGTGACACTTTTGATCAGCTAAACCCTACCGTGCGACAACATAGAAACAGTTTTGTGCATTGTTGTGACTGATGCACAGGTCGATGCATGGTGGTTCGTGTGCAGTGCCTATTACATGTAGTTGCAGTTCGGTATTCCCAGGCATTGACGATAGTGAACTTATGACCCCTCTTTTAATAAGTTTTTGCCAAGTTAGAGTGAAGGTTGTTTTGTATCATTCCAAAATGACTGCAGCAACCAGAAGTTCAGACGTCTCTTAATTCGGGTATTAAAGCGTAATAATTCAAAAAGTATTATTTTTTGGTAATTTTGAACAATATCATTCGGGCAGTGGCCATTAGCCGCCGATGGCAAACAGATGCAAAATGTCATTTTGCTGGAAATGTTCTGTGATTGGCTGTTATCATTGACGTTTGTTGTTCCTGGTAATTTACATTCACACGATATTTTAGTTGGCGAAGGTAAACTGATCCGATGCTAGAAACAGTAACTGGGCGCTAGAACTCTTTTTTTTCCTCTTCAAATTTTGGTTTGTATTGGTCGTACTGTTGTAATGAATTCATATCTTTTGTGAACAGTATAAATTATCTTTACATGGACCTGTTAAATAGTCTTTACTCTTGATGAATGTAAAAAAATCTTGATGTATAGTAAAACACAGGTGCGTGGGTAGGTATACACCACGTTATGGGGAAGTTTTTTATTGTTAGGCAAATTAGGACTGAGTTATGGGGACTTTCTGCTGTCCCCATAGCATTTTCGGTCCCCACAAATACCTCGTGGCAACGAGTGTAAGTCCCCACAATTACGGAACAAGAATTTGTGTATGTGGGTGGGTGGGTGTGAGCTTGTCTTACATACGCAGTGTGGACTTCCGAACAAAAGACGTCCACATAATGTAGGTAGCACCGACGTTGTGTGGACTTGCCCACGTCCACACAGTGTTTCCCCATTTCTGGAAAACAGGTTTAGAGGCATTTTTGGGTTAGGTTTATCTGTAGCAGAATGAAGAGAAACACTAAAGGGAATCATAGAAAAAAAATTGGGTTGAAAGAGTTTTCACAGTTTGAGAAAAATTAGTTTTTTCACTGGTTTTTCTTAACTACACGAAAGCAATGGAAAGTCCACACTAGTCATGTGAAACAAGTATGGGTGGGTGTGTGTGTCCGGATAAATCTTCTTGTCAGCGCGATAACTTGAGAAATACTTTACATATGAACTTCAAATTTGGTTTGTGGATTGTCCTTGGAAATCCTAAGAAGCCTTTTGCATTTGGGGCTGAAAGGTCGAGGGTCAAGGTCACAGTGGCTAAAACAAAAGAAATTTTGTCAGCGCGATAACTTGAGAAATACTTTACATATGAACTTCAAATTTGGTTTGTGGATTGTCCTTGGCAATCCCAAGAAGCCTATTGCATTGGGGGTCGAAAGGTCAAGGGTCAAGGTCACAATGGCTAAAACAATAGAAATCTTGTATTTATTCTAAGATAATAAGGATTAATTCATATAAAACTTACAGAAAACACTAATGCTGTCAATGAACGTTCCATGTGACTGAGGTACATGTAAGTTGATGTTAAAAGAGTGGTGTTATGTCATGGGAACAGTCACAGTTGCGGGGCATTTGTGTTTGTAAACACACCTGACTTGTTTTCATGCCCCGCGGCGAAGCCGAAGGGGCATACTGTTTCCGCCTTGTCCTTCCGTGGGTGGGTGTGTGGGTGAGCTTGTCTTACATACGCAGTGTGGACTTCCGAACAAAAGACGTCCACATAATGTAGGTAGCACCGACGTTGTGTGGACTTGCCCCACGTCCACACAGTGTTTCCCCATTTCTGGAAAACAGGTTTAGAGGCATTTTTGGGTTAGGTTTATCTGTAGCAGAATGAAGAGAAACACTAAAGGGAATCATAGAAAAAAAATTGGGTTGAAAGAGTTTTCACAGTTTGAGAAAAATGATTTTTTTCACTGGTTTTTCTTAACTACACGAAAGCAATGGAAAGTCCACACTAGTCATGTGAAACAAGTATGGGTGTGTGTGTGGGTTTGTGAGCTTGTCTTACATACGCAGTGTGGACTTCCGAACAAAAGACGTCCACATAATGTAGGTAGCAGCGACGAAGTGTGGACTTGCCCACGTCCACACAGTGTTTCCCCATTTCTGGAAAACAGGTTTAGAGGCATTTTTGGGTTAGGTTTATCTGTAGCAGAATGAAGAGAAACACTAAAGGGAATCATTGAAAAAAAATTGGGTTGTAAGAGTTTTCACAGTTTGAGAAAAATGAGTTTTTCCACTGGTGTTCCTTAACTACACGAAAAGAAAGGAAAGTCCACACTAGGTATGTGAAACAAGTCTGGGTGGGTGGGTGGGTGGGTGTGTGTGTGGGTGTTCCTGCATGGCATTACGCCTGAGGACAGACAACAAAAGGAGCACAAAGGGGCCATTGATCCTCGAAGGAAGGTGCCTATTGTCCTCGAACGCAGGTTTGTGTGCTTAGTCTATGGGAGAGTGTTATATTACAGGGACAAAGGAAAACACAAAGCCAATCCTCGAAAGCATAGCAAAAAAACGAATGTGTGGGTGGGTGTGTGTGTCCGGACAAATCTTGTCAGCGCGATAACTTGAGAAATTCTTAACATATGAACTTCAAATTTGGTTTGTGGATTGTCCTTGGTAATCTTAAGAAGCCTTTTGCATATGGGGCCGAAAGGTCAAGGGTCAAGGTCACAGTGGCTGAAACAATAGAAATTTTGTCAGCACGATAACTTGAGAAATACTTAACATATGAACTTCAAATTTGGTTTGTCGATTGTCCTTGGCAATTCTAAGAAGCCTTTTGCATTTGGGGCCAAAAGGTCAAGGGTCAAGATCACAGTGACTAAAACAAAAGAAATGTCAGCGCGATAACTTGAGAAATACTTTACATATGAACTTCAAATTTGGTTTGTGTATTGTTCTTGGTAATCCTAAGAAGCCTATTGCATTTGGGGCCGAAAGGTCAAGGGTCAAGGTCACAGTGGCTGAAACAATAGAAATTTTGTCAACGCGATAACTTGAGATATACTTTACATATGAACTTCAAATTTGGTTTGTGGATTGTCCTTGGCAATCCTAAGAAGCCTTTTGCATTTGGGGCCAAAAGGTCAAGGGTCAAGGTCACAGTGGCAAAAACAAAAGAAATTTTGTCAGCGTGATAACTTGAGATATACTGTACATATGAACTTCAAATTTGGTTTGTGGATTGTCCTTGGCAATCCTAAGGAGCCTATCGCATTGGGGGTCGAAAGGTCAAGGGTCAAGGTCACAGTGGCTAAAACAATAGAAATCTTGTATTTATTCTGAGATCATAGGGATTAGGGATTAATTCATATAAAACCTACAGAAGACACTAATGCTGTCAATGAACGTTCCATTTGACCAAGGTACATGTAAGTTGATGTTAGAGTGGTGTTATGTCATGGAAACAGTCACGGTTGCGGGGCATTTGTGTTTGTAAACACACCTGACTTGTTTTTATACGATTTTAGTCTCTTGCTGCCCTTGTAAAGTAAAGTTTATGTTATTAATGTTAACACATTGTTTATGTTCTTTACAATTCCTCTGCTGGCAGCAAAAAAAAAGACATAATAATAAACCAATTAATAAAGAAAAATAACAATAGCAAACTGTTTGCTCCGTGAGCAATATTGATGCAAAGAGCGGAATGAATGGAACCAAAATGCATGGTAAATGGAATCAAATTGCATGATGTATGACGTATATCATACAACAGAATATTGGTCAAAGAAATGGGGCAAATGATTGAATGTCATGTGACAAAATTCCACCAATCAAATGACTACAATCTATTAATGGGTTACATATTATAAAGTTGAATAATACACTATATGCAGAAGCTATTATTATTTTTACACTAGCCATGCTAGTGGGATGCCGTGCTTCGCGCGGCACCTGCTAGCTGGGTGGAGTTAGAGTAAACTTGAGGGATTTAGCACCATACAACGTTCTTTGCTGTGAATCCGAGAGGAATGATCAGTGCGCCTTCAATTGCTGGATGTTTTTGACCTCAATTTGTATGTTAACCCAAGTGGGCATGGTAATCCTTGGTGAAGCAATTTTGAAAAATGTGTTATTGTCAACGTTACAGTATGTTTAGCTAAACCAATGCTTTGTGGAGTGTGTTTTCATAGAGATAATTTTCTACCATTTCACTATTGAAAGCCTGAAAGACACAAATGTGGCAAAAAAAGAGAAAAACAAAGAAGAAATCATCATTTTCTGTATCTCCTAACCGTGAAGCCTCTCGATAAACCCTTGCATTTCCTCGCATTTTGTGTCTTCCCACACTTCTTTAGGTCTTTATCCCTAACCCTCCAGGGTATGTTTGCTAGAACCCTGCCAAGCACAGCAACATGCAACACTTGACTAAGTGACAAGCCTGCCCAGTGTAGCAAGATCCATCAGGGGAAAAGTCTCAAGGCCACACTGCCTCAGAGTCCGTGGTCACTGCACGCAGCAAGATACAACTGTGGCATTGTTCAGTGGGACTTAGCTCTCATTGTTTCAGAGCTGGCCATTCATGCACTGGTGTTGGCAGCTGAATGCATCAAAGTGCACCAGTTCTTTTCCACCTGGTGCACTGTGTTGCGTCTGGCAGGGTTAGGGTTATAACAAAAACGAAACACACAGATGTCAGACAGACAGACATCAGACAGCGTTAGATCTTTTATGTAAATATGAATATGAATTTTTGGTAATGCAATGATATTTATTAAAATAATGTAAATGTCATTGTCAATATGTACAGCCTTACAGGACCTCGGCATGTCATCTCTCTATGCACGACGCATGGCACGCCTGAGTGCCCGTATTTTTGGGGATGTTTTCAGACCAACCACCTCTCAGTCAATGAAAGTTGTACAACTAATGAGAGAGAAACCACGAGAACACAAACCAGAGGTTACAGAGTACTACCCACCGCACACCGAAGTCTACAAGATGATGAGAAGGCTCCAGTTTGTGGGACTTTACAGGTACATCTGTGGGTGCATGTAGTACAAAACATATACTGTCTACAACATTGCCTTTCACACTGGATCTTGGCAATTCCAAGAGAAGGTCCCCTCAAATTGCAGAATTTTCTATTCAGCTCAAATTTCAATGTCAATTTACGTGTGAAATCACACCTCAAAGGACATGAACAGTCAATCATGTGCCCTTTTAATACACAAGAAAACTTGTTCACCTCATTAATAATGCAAATTAGGCATATTCTTAATGAGCGATGTCCCATACATAACAATTTAACATATATTTTTTTTTAGGATTACACTAAAAGCTCCAAAGAAATAAAATGTCTTTTTTCTAATTCATCATGCGTTGGTCAGATATCCTAATTAGATAATTAATTTATTAATGCCCTTAGTACTGACTCGTTTTTATGCCCCGCGGCGAAGCCAAAGGGGCATACTGTTTCCGCCTTGTCCTTCCGTGGGTGGGTGGGGGGGGGGGGGTTTCCGTGGGTGTGTGTGTGGGTGGGTGGGTGTGTGGGGGGGTGTGAGTTTGTGTTACATACCCTATGTGGACTTGTGAACAAAAGAGGTCCACATAATGCAGGTTGTGTTAACCTTATGTGGACTAAGCCGTGTCCACATAAGGTTTTGCCCTTTCTGGAAAACAGGTTTAGAGGCATTTTTGGGTTAGGTTTATCAGTAGCAGAATGAAGAGAAACACTATAGGGAATCATAGAAAAAAAATTGGGTTAAAAGAGTTTTCACAGTTTAAGTAAAGTTATTTTTTGTACCGAGTTTTCTTAACTACACGAAAACAAAGCAATGTCCACACAAGGTATGTAACGTAAGTCTGGGTGTGTGTGTGTGTGTCCGGACAAATCTTGTCAGCGCGATAACTTGAGAAATACTTAACATATGAACTTCAAATTTGGTTTGTGGATTGTTCTTGGTAATCCTAAGAAGCCTTTTGCATTTCGGGCCAAAAGGTCAAGGGTCAAGGTCACAGTGGCAAAAACAAAAGTTATTTTGTCACCGTGATCACTTGAGATATACTTTACATATGAACTTCAAATTGGTTTGTGGATTGTCCTTGGCAATCCTAAGAAGCCTATTGCATTTGGGGCCAAAAGGTCAAGGGTCAAGGTCACAGTGGCTAAAACAAAAGAAATTTTGTCAGCGCGATTACTTGAGAAATACTTTACATGTGAACTTCGAATTTGGTTTGTGGATCGTTCTTGGTAATCCAAATAGGCCTATCGCATTGGGGGTCGAAAGGTCAAGGGTCAAGGTCACAGTGGCTAAAACAATAGAAATCTTGTATTTATTCTGAGATCATAGGGATTAGGGATTAATTCATATAAAACCTACAGAAGACACTAATGCTGTCAATGAACGTTCCATGTGACCAAGGTACATGTAAGTTGATGTTAAAAGAGTGGTGTTATGTCATGGGAACAGTCACGGTTGCGGGGCATTTGTGTTTGTAAACACACCTAACTTGTTTTGTATGCTCTCATCATTAAACCCAGCAAATTGTGGAGAATGGTCAACATATTGTTTCATCATCTAAAAATTGTACTTGTCTTATTTTTTGCAAGATTTGAATAATTCAAGCTTTGTACTCTAAATCTGCTCGTCGTTCGTGTAACTCGTTCCTGGAGGTGCAGTATCACACCGGAATGTCAGTTCTCAACCACTCCAGTGTGGTGTCGTCAAGGTCGATCAGGCTGGCAGGTCCGTTGGGAGGGCTGAAGATTGGACACTCTTGTAGGATGTGCGTGGTCGTCTGTGGGGACCCACAGGGGCAGGTGTCGTCGGCTCTGGTGCCGACTAGGTGGAGGAACGAGTTGGTTTTTCCCCACCCGGTCCGTAGTCGGTTGAGCCTAACCCAGGGCTTGCGCTCGAGGTTGTGCCCTGCTGGCTTTGTTGATGGTACAGGCATGAACTCGTGCAGGCTGGTGGTCATGATCTCCCACTGCTCTCTCCATCGGTCTGCTACCCAGGACGGGGAGAGTGAGGGGCCGTTCTTTAGTTCACAAGCACGGGTTACGAAGTGCTGGCGGTTGATGGAGGGCAGTTGTCAGAGATGTAGGGCACTAGGCTACAAGGCGTGCTAGCTTTCTGAGAAAGCTTGAGAGTCAGGTGGTCACGTCTTATGCTCGCGGGTGGGATGCCTGTGACCATGGGCAGTAAGCTTGCTGGTGTGGGTGCCATGGTACCGGAGATAAGTCGTAGGATGTCATTGAGCACTGTGTCTATTGCTTTTGTGTGGCGGCTCTGCGACCATACGGGGGCTGCATACTCTGCGGTTGAGTATGCCAGGGCAAGAGCAGATGTGTGGAGGGTTGCAAAATTAGCGCCCCAGTGGGTGCCAACAAGCTTTTTGAGGATGTTCACTCACTTTGATGTCTTCTCTGCTACTTTCTCTTTAGGCTGCGGTCGAGCGTAATGCCAAGGTAGACCGGCTGGGGGTCAAATTTAAGTTTGCTGCCATTGAGGTTGATGGTAAGCTCCTTCTTAGCCAGTCTGTTTGCTAGGTGGAAGATGGAGCATACTGTTTTTCAGAGATGCCACTTTTCAGGTTTAAACCTGAATTCAGTTTTTTTTTTAAAAAGTGTGACAAATTAAAAGTGCTGGATTTGGTCTGAAACATCCAGAAAACACATTTTTGAAAAGGGGGTAAGGGTAGTTTCAGCTTTTTTAGTAGTGTTTCAGGCTTTTTATTGATATATTTGTGGCATCTCTGGTTTTTGACTCGCTCAGCTTCAGGTGCCAGTGATGGTAGTAGCTGCACAGGGTGGAGAGATCATCTTCGAGTGGCTGCTGGATTTCCTCAAAGGTTTTTCCAGTAATACCTAGGGCGCTGTCATCGGCGTAGACATACTGTTCCAAGGTGGTGTTCGGGAGGTCGGCAGTGTAGATGTTATATAAGATGGGTGCGAGCACTGACCCCTGAGGAAGGCCATTCCGTAGGCATCGCTTTCTGCTTTGGTCGCCACTGGAGGTCTCAACAAAGAACGTACGATTCTGCAACAGAGTCATTATGAATTGCACAAGCTTTACATCTGGTATAGTTCTTAGCAGCTTCAGGTACAGGCCGCGATGCCAAACGGTGTCATATGCGGCTGTGAGGTCTACGAAGACTGCCCCAAGCTTCTCTTTTCTCTGGAATGCGGCTTCGATATCATTGACGAGGCGTGAGATCTGGTCCGTGGTAGATCTTCCCTTACGGAAACCAGCTTGCGCGTGTGGTAGGCTCAGTTCTATGAGGTCACTGATGCGTGCGAGAATTACCCTCTCCATTACTTTGAAAGTCATACACAAGAGAGAGATGGGGTGGTAGCTCTTCGCCTCGTCAGCAGTTTTTTTGGGCTTGAGTACGGCGATAACTTTCGCTTTTATCCAGACCGCTGGGATCGACAGTGTATCCATACAGTTGGTTAGGAAGAGGCGGAGCCACTCGACAGCCTGAGGTCCTGTATGTCTCAGAAACTCAGAGTGTACCAGGTCTATGCCCAGCGCTTTCCCATTCCTCAGACAGAGAATGGCTTCCATGAGTTCTTCTTTGGAGATTGGCCCTGACAGGTCGCTTGAGGCGCGTTGGGTGGAGATAAGTTCTTTTATTTCCTCATTGACTCTTCGGTTGTGGTTTTTGGCATCAGTTGAGCGGTCTTTCCATCTTCCGTTGTCCACAAGGACAGATGCAATTGAGTTTGCAGGAACTGGACAGGGCTTTGGTTTACTGCCTCGACCAGTGAGTCGGTTGATCGTGGTCCACACCTTCCGGCTGGAGTGGGTGAAATCAATGGTGGTTACCATCTCTTCCCATCTGGTACGCCTTTTTTCACCGAGGGTATGCATAAGTATATCAGCTTTGTCTGCTTTCTCGGTGTCACTCGCGTCGTTGTACTCCTTGAGTAATCGGTCACAGTCAGCATCCCAGCATGGAATATACTGGCCACGTCTTCCGCGAGGAATGGATGACTTTGCAGCAGATGAGAGCATATTGGTGAAGGCGGTGCATACTTTGGAGGCGTTCCCGGATGGGCTTGGGAGGTCGAAGGTGAGGTCGTCTGTTAAGGATGTGAGCTTGTTCCAGTCAGCCTTCTAAAGTTCCACCTCTTTTTGTTGAGGGAGGTGATCTTTATTTCGATCTTTGTGCCGATAACGATAGGGCAATGTCCGGATCTTGGGAATTTGTCAAGAATGATGCGTTCGCAGTTTTGTGAGATATTGGAGGAGACGAAGCTCAGGTCTGGGTTCGACCACTTCTTGTGCCGACCAGAGAAGAAGGTGAGGTGGTCTTTTGAGGCGTAAAGCAGGTGGAGATCAAGCCTTTCAGCCCAGTTGGCGATGACATCACCATTCAGGTTGGTGTCACGGAAACCCCAGTTTGTATTGCGGCTGTTGAAGTCACCACAAACGATGGCAGGGACTGTAACCAGAGGCAGGTTGCATTGGGTGACCGTCGATGGGGGCGGCTTGTAGAGGTTTACAACTTGGTGGTTATTGGCAACGATGGTTATCCATTCAGTTGGGCTGTCTGCAGTCGACTTTTGGTCCAACTTGGCAGTGATACCATCGCGTGCATATGAGGCAATCCCATGGTGTTTGCTGGGGATAAACTCTATAGTGTTGAAGCCTTCAATTTTGAGCTTTTGTTCATCCTGCATGTGGGTCTCCTGCAGGAGTATGATGTTGGCTTGATGTTTTTCAGCCAGGTGTCGGACGAGATCACGTTTGGCTCTGGTGAGTCCTTCGACATTAAGTTGGAGTATACGAATCTCGGTAGTAGACATTGTCTCGTTTTAGGGGAACGCCCCGGATTCGTTGGCCAATAAGGTGAGATTGGATGGATCTAACCTTGATTGGCGGTTGAGATGGTTGACATTCCTTAGCGATATCGCGTAGGTTGAGTTGTGTTGCTGGCTTTGGTTGGCTGTAGCTTTGCAGACTTGTGAGCTTGTGAGCTTGAGCCGTAACGGAGATCACCACGAGAAGATAGCCAGCATGATCCCTCCTGCTGATCATGGATCTGCTGATCATGGATTAATCTGAATAATTTCAAACTATAACTAGAATTGTGTTTGTGGACAAACACGTAGCTGTTTCGACTGTGTTAAAATATTGGGCTGTGTAAAAGTGAATTTAGTGTTATAAATTAGCAAAAGCGTCCATTTGTACATTATGTAATTGGACAATATTTCACAAGCTGCGTTGATGCCATTCTACCGCGATTCTACCGCGATGGGTAATCCAATAATAGGATCTTGGTGGTTGCAATGAATGTTTGAAATGACCTTGCAGAGTGCACTCATCATGCGGTACATTGCATTCACTGTGTGCGTGTTGAGATTTCTTCCGGTGCACACAAAGCTGGTTTTCTCGTAATAACATTTTTATCGGACGGGCAATGCTGGGGTCAGAATCACTTTTCATGGGATTATAGGGAAGAATAAACAATAAAAACTTCATATCATTGAAAATCTGAATAAGTGGAGAATTTGAAAATACCAAAACCTCAATTGTTGTTTTTTGCTACTTTGTCCGGGTTTCGTGGTAACGGGCCACATAGGGTGGTCTAAGTGTGTGCCAGGTTTGAAGTCGATGTGGGAAAAGAAGGGGGAAAAAGGAAAAAAGAAGGGAAAAAAACCAAAAAAAATTGCTGTTTTGGTGTGTGCACAAAACAAGCGCCCCCCCCTCCCTCGCGACGCCTATGTCCCAAAGAACTCCATTTGTGATTGTTCTGAAAAGGAGTAACAGGCCTCATATGTGAATTATGTCATCAACTTGTTTTTGTACACACAAAGGTTTTGTGGAATTCGGAACAGATGACGGATAAACACGCAATGACTAAGGCTGGAAAATATGTGTCAGCTACCTGTGCCTTGGTCCAGTCATGTCAAAATAATCCTAGCCTGAACTGGTTAAATACAGGTATATTGTTATTCTTTGCAAAGGTGCTGCTCTACCATTTTCAGTGACCGTCAAACTTAAGACACTATTTGCATATTTTTCCTGATTGCTTTTCCTGGTGTTTGTCTTTGACAGGGATGAACATGCTGATTTCCGTGCTGAGATGAGGAGAGTTGCTCGTCTTAAAGGGAAGGCCCCGCCCAAAAAAGGAGAGGGCAAACGAGCAATGAAGAGAAAATGATCAGCCAATTTGGCAAGCATTGAACCTTACAAGTCTTAGATGGATGCAAGGAGACTGTTAATCATCCACATATGGATGTACAAGTACTAAGAGTTTGATCAAGGATGTGTCAGAGATGAATGACAAAGTCTGTATCTGACCTTAGTTTGCAGATGCAGTCTTTGTGCTGCAATAAATGCATGTATATAGAGGAGTTATGTCTTACAAATTATCAAGGCCAGTCAAAAAAAAAAATCAGCAAGTTTTCTCGTCCCCGTCCACTTTTCTCTCCCACAAAGATGCAAAAAAGCTTCTTTTTTGGGGGTGTGATTTATTTGGATGTTTCGGATTTCATGTAGGCCTACTTTCTAAAACAGCCATTGTTTCCAGACAATTGTTTCGAAACAGTGTTAGTTTCAGGTAAGATCTCCCCCCCCCCCCCCCCCCCGACTCCTGTCAACAGCATTTAAACACCTTTTTTCCCTGCCCGGCAATTTGGGTACTTTAATTAATCTGATTTGGCAGAGACATCAACCAACTATTGTAGATTTGGGCCGAACATGAACTTCTCATGTCATCATAACCTCATCATGTGTCACATGACATCACATACATGTATGTGTCCAATTGCTTGTAACTTGGTATGACCATGCAGGTATACCACAAAGTGAAAATCCACACTCATTGGAGGGCTCGTAATTTTGAATCTAATTGTCTTATGATGAAGTCATTCATATAGACCTTTGGGAAATTTAGTTAGCTACGTTTTGATATCCCATTTGCTACTAAAGACTGTATATCATCCAAGATTGACAACAATTTATGAAAAATGCTGCATTTTGAAAACTTTTCAAACTGCATAATTTTTCAAAAACTGTTGTTAGTGTTGGATGATTGGTAGCTTAACAACATTCCCCAAAGGTCTATACAAAGGACGTTATTATAAATGATCAGATTCAAAATTATGTCCCTCCAATGAATGTAAACTTTCTTATTTTTTGGTTGTGTTTAGATGAACACTGTAGGGTGTGATGACATCGTCACATGTTACGTGACACCACATTAAAGATCCATTTTTCAAAGGCCTATATATACAGCTACACAGCCATGTGGTTGTGAAGGCCTAAGCATCGCTGTTGTTAAACAAGTTAATCCCAATATGTACTTGGACGCTATAACAGAGCAGTGAAATTCATGCACCCCCAAAAAATGGCTTTTTGAATGTTGTGTTTCTCAGAAAATATGCTCAGTATGATTGAAATGTAAAATTATAACAGAAGAAGAAATTCTAAACTTCATGTCAGTGAAAAAATTGCTGTCATCGATTGCTGTAACGTCGATACTGGTTACTGGTAAAACTGACCTTAAAGTTGAGAAGAAATCATTCGAAAATGTTCCCGAATCTATGTATTTATCTCAATTTTTAGGAGTCCCCTCAAGTTGTTACTTCAGGAGTAGCTGAACATTGATATCATTTCAGTATATTCTGAAATTCAGCTTAATCTATCGTTGCAAAGTCTTGTGTGACATCTTGAACTACCTCCAAGAGAAATTTTGACAAGGATTTTTGGCTGACCAAACTCACGCACATGTACATGGTTTTCAGGTTGGCCGATTTTGGTGCAACAATGCTGACGAAGTGCATATTAGCATACATCATTAACGTAACTCGGCGTGACTTGCACGGGTCTCGGTATCGACGATTGGAAGCCAGCAATAACTCGTGAAGGAGGCGATGCTGCAAATTTTTACTGCACACCATAGTAAATGGGAAACTTATTAATATTCGCGAGGCTTGCAAAGAATTGACAGATATTGTTGAATAAATGGCCCCTAAACCAGCATTGATATCGATCATTCCAGGATCATGTAGGCCAATGATTGGCAAAATAAACAACAGTCCTGTGGTAGCTTGTAACAATACAGCAGTACACATGGTACACATGCACTCAACCACCATTGTGTGAGGACTTACCGGTACGCGGGCCTGTGAAACACAGTTGCTATGCTCTTGTGGAATAAGTCTTAACACGACATGTTCGTACTGAGGATGTTAATAATGAAAGCGTGGATCTGGAATTTGCTTCTTTTTTTCTTCTTTTTTTGGTAAACACGTCGCCCACGGAAAAATTTACTTTTTTCTTTACCGAGCATCTTTGTAATACTGGACACAATGAATATATGTAAACAATATTCCAGGTTCCTATGAAAAAAACTTCTTGTAATTTGTTGATATGGCAGCAGAGGTTTATACCCTGTTACATCTGTTGTAATGCAATGAAGATGACTAATAAAGCATTGAATATACAGGGTGAAGCATATTGCATGCATATAAAGCTAAAATATGGCCCCTCAGCATAAACACAAAAAGTCTGGAATTATCGCAGAAAGAAAGGTCACAAAATTGGAGCATTTTAACTGTTTATTTCTTTTAAAAGGAGTAACAGGCTCTGTCCATTAACAGCGGCCATTCCCCAACCTGGTCATCCCGCATTGAAGACTGGCTCCTCACACTGTTATTCCCTAAAAACAACAACCGTGTCGTTATTGAATTCTTTAATTTTTATTTGACACAACTTGCAATTGTACAATCCCAATATCTACAGAACTATACACCCTACCTGGATGGAACTTCTACTTGTAACTGTACATGCCAGATGATACCAAAATAATTGCCGAAACAGCCCTTTGTTTGTCCACATAAATAGATCTATTTTTTATTTTATTGATTGTAATCGTCAATTTGAAAAATGTTTCCAAAATGTTTATTTGTTTCCAGCAAAATTGTAGCCATACGACCACCACCTTCACGACCACCTTCAAAATGGGGGCGCTCTTCAAAACTGACCATTATATGCATACTGCAAACTTATGTAACCATTTTCACGGCGCATTGTGATGGCTTTTTAGCAGGTTTTCTTTTTGGATTGATGTCAGAACTCTCTTACCATTTACTAAAATAAATGCTGTACAAAGAATCCAGAGGGGGGCCGAGTGCCCCCTCTGCGCCCCCCCCCCCCCCCCCCCCCCCCACTCTGGATACGCCACTGAAGTGGGCATTTTCCCGCTAAGCGGGCGAGACGAAGCCTTGCAGATAAGATAACTTATTACATCTGAGTGAAAGATTACAATTTCAACAATTTCATGTAGTTAAAAATACAAAAACATACATAAATTACATTGTCAGGATAAGAAATACCCAGAGGTGTAGTAAATCTTCAACCCCGTGTCTAAAATGTATGACTATGATTGTATTTTATGATCTTGACATTGCTATTTTTTATAGAATTATCTATGTTGTTGTCCACTATTTAGAATTATTTGATAAATCTTTCTTTCTTTTCACGACAATACTTCTCCGCGGGTTTTTTCCTAATCATTTTATGGTATGAACTTATAACTTTCAACATATATCAAGTGCATATTACTCTGACGTCATGATGACATCATCGGGTGTCAAATTACAGGCGATTTAAGATTTCTAGATTTAACTTTGAAAATCAATATAAACCTAGAGATTCGTGTTTGTACAAATGCAGAGTGGTCAGGTAGACAGTTTATAAACACTGTCCAGTTAAGTTATGAATATATTTTTATGTAAGAACAAAAGGATAATGAAATTAAATCCTTTCCAG